ATTTTAGCAGCAGTAAGTCTTTCCTCGGCAATCAAACAATTTAAAGACAACAATATGGCATATAATATCCAGATTTTCTCTGTATTTTTTAATCTTTATGTGGCTTTTTTATTACTTTATTTTTACTTTCTTTCTTTCTTTTTTTTTCCCCTGAGACAGGGTTTCTCTGTGGAAATCCACCTGCCTCTGCTTCCTTCTTTCACAAGCCAACATATATTTTTAAACACAGTGTAAACCTTTAGAGGTTTTTCTTCATCTGGATCTGTATTTATCATCTTGAGAGTGTCGAGTCTAAACTCCAGAAGCACCAGGAGGGTTCCAGCATATGGAAGCTGCTCCGATGCCTCTCAGCTGCCCGACAGAACAGGCTGTGGTGGCAGGTTTCCCTCTTTCTCTGAGAATCTTGGGGAGTGGGGGTCATTCCGCTCACTGACACCATTCTGTTACGATGAATTGAGGATTTCAAGCAAGATCTTCTATCAAGAGAATCCCATCTAACATGGACTGTATACAATCCATTCAAGACTTTTTACTACACTAATATTTTCTTCCTACAGGAACCCACATGACTATCATCATCCCATTTCAGCAGGAAGTAACTTGGAGGATGCTATGCCCCCTTGCTCCCTGATGGTCACTTAGGATAGTGTATATACCTATTTAGGGATAGCTTCCTATTGTTTATGGTTGGGATTGGAAGGAGGTGTTCAGGCTTGGACACCTCTTTCAGATGACTTTAGTGTTTAATTAAGATACATAGTTAGGATGTGACATAAGCAGATTGTTGTATCTTCTTATATTTTACCTTTATGATTGTTAATTTTCGATACCTTACACTGTTAAGTTTTAATTCTCTTTTAGACTAAAAGGGGAATTGTAGGGGAAGCTGTAGCCACACCTACTTAGGGGCTGGCTACACGTGTGCCTGACCATGCTTTTGAGGGCGTGATCAAGGTGACATAGAGTGAGACTTTCATGGGACTGTGTTTTCTCTTTTGGTTTCACTTTTGTACTTGCTGGACAGACTGCTGCCACGCCGGCAGGCTAGGTTGCACTGTAAGTAAGGCTTTTCCCTATTAAATACCCTTATATTTCTACCTGACTCCGTATTGGTAATTTCCCACTATATTTGTTTGATGAAGCAAACAGCTATCAAAATACAGATAAGTCACTGAATTTTCAGGAAAACTCACTGAGATGAAAATCACTTGGGAAAGGAAACAGAAAATTTTATTTTTTTTATTTACTTTTTTAAAATCAGTTCTTTTATTAATGAGATTACAATGTAATTACATCACTACCCCATTTACTTTCCTCCCTACAAATACTCCCATATACTTTCATTGTTCTCTTTCAAATATATGAACTCTTTTTTAAAATTGAATTTAATATATTCCTAAATACATGAGTAAAATGTGCCCTGTCTGTACAGTGTTACTTGTACATGCCTTTAGTCCTGACCACTTTAAAAAAAAATTGTGAAACTGTGCAACATAAAAGACTCTAAACCCTGAGGCATTGTGTTTTGTCTTCAGACCTTCAGGTAAGTTCTGTCTTAGGTATTAACAAAGAAATTTGGTGAGTTTTAGGGTGGATACATGCATAGCTCCACATTCCACTGAGACCTATACATTCAGACTGTAGATTTGCTTGAACAAATCTATAGTCACTAGCCTGCTCCACCCTAGCCAAAGAGGCTCTTAGATTCTCAGATTCTAAAGGATGAAGAGTTGCTCAACTTTATCGCATTTCATTTCATAGGAATAAAGTTGACCTTCCCATAAAAGAACAATATTTTGCAAAGCAAAGAACAATGTCACAGAAAAACAAAACTTGTTTGAATGTATTTTCACAAAGTATTGTGTTCTGTTCTCATGGGATATGGTACCTTCTATCAAAAATCAGAGGTAGTAGGGATTCTGCTGTCAGGGACCATAGAGCTTAACGGGAACAGAGCCAACTATATCAATAGCTATGTAGATGTTGACCCACTATGCAGCTTTGTTGAATAAGGAATAAGGGGAAAGGCATGAAATCTTACTGTGTGTCACTTTCTATCAATTTTTTCTGGAAGATACCTCAGTTAGTTTTGCCAGGTTGGAGATGAGATAGGTCCTACAAAGGAGACAATGATCATCTGGCATTAAACATGAAGAAGGCTGTGGGAATCAGGAAGAAAAGTTCTCAAGGAAGCTGTGGCCAAAGGTACTCTTGGACCTTAGGTAGAGAGGGGTCTGGGTTTTGAGGAGGACACGGGACAATAAACACACTTTGCATCTGTTGCTCATCTTACAAATCCCACTTTACCAGTTACCACATTTGCAGACCTGTCCAAAAGTAGTGTTTATAAAATAAATGGAATGCTTTGCTCACAAAATGGCAAGTACATGAACTTCAAATATTACTTGACCTCAGAAACATAGGCAAGATCACAAATCATGTTATTTTCTTCTTTCTCAGTCAGAGGCCTTTTTTTCTTGAGTAGGTAGGTTCTTTTGTAGTTTGACTGGAAAGTTGAGCTGAAATATGAAGCTAAGTGTGGGCTTTCCCTGGCTCAGTGCTGGCCCCACAGCAGCAATGCCCTCCCATCTATGTCCCACATGCTGTGACACACTTTTATGTCTCTCTGAACATTGCTGGTATATTTTGCACATGGATACTTGCTCTGTCTACATGCTTAGTTGTCAGCATTGCTGACAACTAAGCACAAGAATCACATTATCAACACATTGACCCTTGAAGAGGCCCTCTGTACAACACCTGTTGTTCCTGAATGTGTTCCTGAATCCATCCTTAAGACCTTATGTATCAAACGCACAGAGAACACTCAGAGATAATTAATGATTTGCTGGTTGTGTTGTCTCTATAATTTGAAGTTGTCTGCCACAAGAATGAGTCACTTTTCCATAAATAACCTTACCACTGAGTCTGTCCCTTATGAGCCCATGAAGATTAAGGTCAATACACTCTGCTCTGTTTTCATTCTCATTATTTCTAAGCCCACATTGAGTCAAGTGAGCTTTTCTTGAGCAGATTATGTTGTACTGGGATTCTGACAGCTTTTTTTAAGCATTCAAGTTAAATAAATGAATAAATGCAAAATGCATATTGTACTTAAAAATACATGTATTCAACTGAAATCAATATTTCATATACTTACAAGCAATTTAGAGAAAGAACTAAAGTTTGTTGTAGATTTGATTCCATGATGCATAAAAATTATGGTTTATTATTCATTTGTCTTCATACTAGAATATAATCAAATAAACATTACTCATTTTTATGATAAACTTTAAATAATACAAAGATATTCATCAGGTATATTTCATAGCTGTACTGAAACTGACAGTTTTGCAAGTAAAATACAACATTGCATATAAATTATGTTACTGTTTATGTTTTATTTGAAATATTCATAATATTCATTTTGTAAATACAATATGCGATGTAGGGAAATGACAATCTTGTAATTGAACTTCGATGAAAAACTTGCCTGTTAAAATTTTAGATGAAACCAATCTTTGAATTTTAGGCGGTCAGGAAGACTTGTGCTCACTCAACTTCTTTTCTGTTTTATGAATTTCATTGTGTATGAATTTGATCCTACTTCTTGATTTCACTTTAACAAATATGCTTAATACAACACAAATAAATAAGCTTTACTCTTCATAGTCTTAAGATGCTATATGTACTCACTGCAAGATTTTTGTGTCATAGGTTCTCAATTACATTGTCATCACCTGATAATTTTAGCTTAGATAAATAAGATAATTAAAATACATCATGAATAATATTGTGTTACAAAAACTGACACAAGCTTCAGTGTGAAAGAGACTGTCATTGAAATATAAATGTATCTTATCCTACAAGGATGACACGAACTGATAATCTAGGCAATGGTGGAGAGGACAACCTAAATGCCCTTCCCCTACAATGAGACTGATGACTACTTTTTAAGTCATCCTAGAGCCCTCATCCAGTGGCTGAGGAAGCATAGGCAGACATCCACATAAATACACTGAAGTCTGGAACTTAGTTACAGAGAGGGAGGAATGAAGATCTAAGGGCTCGGTACCAGGCTGGTGAAAACCACAGAAACATCTGGCCTGTACAAGTGGCAGCACATGGACCCCAGACTGCTGTCTGTGAGGCCTGCACTGGGATGATCCAGACCCCTGAACATGGATGTCAATGAGGAGGCCTCTGCACTCTAGGGGGCCCTTGGTAGTGGATTAGTATTTTTCCCTGGTGTAAGAAGGGTCTTTGAGAGCCCATCCCACATGAAGGGATGCACTCTAGACCTGGACACATGGGGGAGGGCCTAGGTCTGGCCCAGGATGATGTGGTGGACTTTGGGGAGCCCCTATCCAGGGCCCTACCCTGCTTGGGGTGTGGTCGGTGGATGGAGTGGGTGATAGGTCAGAAGGAGGGGGGAGGGTTGAGGGGAGGCAGAGGGGGAAGGGATTGATGTGAAACATGCTTGTCCCTAATTTGAACTAATAAAAAAATTACAAAAAAAGAGACCCACTAAACAGGGGGTAAACACAAAACAACATTTTGATTATGAAAGTGAAATTTAAAAAAAACTAAATGTATTACCTGGTTAACAAAACATGTAAGTTTAAGATTGCTTATTTAAAGAAAAATTGGAACTGGTTTGGGGATGATTTAAAAGTCTCTTTGTGAATAACAGTGCCTGATGATATGACATTAATATTCACCCTGTGCAGATCATAGGACATTCTCATTTGATAAACAATTAGTTCTTTTTTGTTTACTACTACTGCAATCAATTCTTTGGCTAGTCAAAGAATTGAGTAGGCACAGCAAATTCTAATCAAACTCCATAAACTGAGGACTACAAACCAAAGGACAAATTACTGTTATCTTTTTATTTGATTCAAACCTATTGCCATATAAAAAGCTAATTAATTACTTACAAAGTAAATGTACATTTTTAAAAAACATCAGAATACAAATTTACAAGGGACTAACAAAGTGTAAAATTTTCAGCTATTTTTCATACTATACAGAAACAAATCAAACACTAAGTCATATACATTTACTGATGTTCTTAAAAATACGTTTGTGACAAAAAAAATCTTGTTTATTTAAATTCAGAGGGGTGAAAGCTGAAAGAATCAATTGTACCAAACAGTAATTTTTTATCAAAATGCTAATTAGAGTTATTTACATCCATATAAAATCTAAACTTGCTCAACTTTGAATCCCCCTTTTTGCATATAAATACTAAAGGCAGCACAGTTTGTTAGTCAATAAAAAGATAAAAATTAAAAAAATAAGTGTGTCTTATCACTAATGATTTTATAAAACATAATCATAATGCCATCTTTATGTAAATAACAGACTGGAATGAACCTTAAAGCAAAATTATGGCCAGAGCAAAATATGATTAGAGTTTGTGGAGCATTTGAAAGGCAGCCAAATGAAATAAGATTTTTCAACCTTTCCTTCCATGTTTGCTTACATTCCTTTTCATGGAGGAAGCATGACTTCCAGATGTAAAAATCAGCTAAGTATGTAAAAATCAGCCATGTCTTGTTGGAAGATATTTATTTTCCTTTTCAGCAACTCAAACTGTAAAGAAAATGTCAAGAGAAACACAAATAAAAGTTAAAGCCAGCCTAATGTTTTACCACTAACATATTAAGGAGCGCAAGTCATTTCACCTTTGAAGACTTACCTTCCCAAGCAGATAGTAATGTTAAGAGAAAGTATTTAGTTTGTAGGAACATTGTATTGTAGGACCAGATAAACAACAATGTCATATGTAAGTTAAATTTTTGGAAATGACAGTTACAGGTTGCATAATATCTGTGATAAATTACTAAAACCACAGATCACCAAACCGGAAAGAATTTAAGTAAATAATTACATAATAATAAAAATATAATTTACAACAACATTTGATGGTGGCCGTAGTCTTTGATGTCAGTGAGGTTTGACCTTTGTTCAGTTGATAACCTGGAGAAACAAATGGTGTTCAGAAAATATGATATGATGGGAAATAAGACGTAATATATGTACTTAAAATTTTTATTGTTTATTAAATTCTCGTCAATAAGAAAGTAAGTAGACACTGGATGATGTCCACAGGTCCAACAATTACTATACGGTCAAGTATGGTTTTCTCATAAATGGTTATCATTTGTGTGCACTTCCAAGTGTTTTCTCCAGGCCGGTAGCAGAACAGCCTCATCACACTCAGGTAGCAGTTCTGGTGAGAAGACAAGAACTTTGCATTACAGTGTGAGAAGGGAACAGCAGATTTTGCAAACATCAGCTAGTAAGCTACCAAATCAGTTTGTCAGGTATACACAGAACTCTCATGAGATGGTTTGGATGAGAGTCATCCCCATAGACTCATATATTTGAATGCTTGGTCAACATGGAGTGTAACTATTAGGAAGTGTGGCCTTGATGGAGTAGGGTTGACTTTGTGGAAGGAAATGTGTCACTGGGGGTATGCTTTGCGGGTTTCAGATGTTCAAGCCAGACCCAGGTTTTCCCTCTTCCTGCTGTCTTGGGATTCAGAGATAGAACTCTCAGCTACCTCTCCAACACTATGTCTGCCCATGTGCTACCATGCTTTCCACCATGATGATAATGAACTAAGCCTCTGACCAGTAATCCAGCCCCAGAAAAAGTTTTCCTTTATGAGATTTGCTCTGGCTATGGTGTTTTTTCACAGCAATAAAATTCCAAATAAGACACTGTATTTAAAAGGGGCTAACTTTTCTGTAAAGCATGTTTTCCACCTTAATTGGACATAAAGGTCTTTTTTCTCACACTAATAACGACTGCACGTATGTGAGTTGAGTTTGCCATCACATATATTCATGTGCTTCCACCGAGGACATAACACGAACAAAGAATGCTGTGATTTAGACTGTGATTTATCTGATCTGATTCTCTCTGCATGGAAATGGAGCAAATTAGCTTACTGAAATCTATAATATCATACAGGAGTAAAACAGGCAAGAAATAAGCTCATTAGTCCAAGCACCTTTTTTAACAGATGAAAAAATGCAGTGTTTGTTACAATATGAATAATGCTAAAAGTGCTTATGAGAGTAATTGGTTGACTTGTAATGAATTTGTTTTTATTTAGCTTTCACATGAAATGAATTACTAGTTAACACAATGTAATATTCAAGATAAAATGGACTTACACATCTGTATCTTATGTTAGTAAATGAGTTGAATATTTTTCATTGTAACTAGAAAATATTGTAGTTGTCCAAAGCTCCTAATCTTCATATATTAATTACATATTAATAACTCATGAAATGAATGTAACATATATTTACAATGTCTCTGAAACAGCACATTATGGAAGCATTCATTTTTTCACAAATATCAATCTTTGCATATTTATAAATCTGTCATATAGAACAGAAAACTTTTGAAATCACTAATTAGTCATATATTTTAATTTTAGGAATGTTTTGGAAATGTTATCAACTTATTTTCCTGCAATAGGCAAAAGATACCAACATTAACTTTACCCAGCAATCAATGAAATAGCATGTAGATATTGTTTGTTGTGAACCTGTTTAGCTTATGAATGTTAATCTATATTTATAAACCTGGTCCTCAATAAGCTTAGGAACTTCTTCTGGATTTCATAAAATCTGTGTCAATTCTTCTCCTGAGAATCTGGATCACAAAAGTCAGTAAAACTTAAAAAATCTTAAGCAAATAACTCTATTATATATGGAATAGAAAAACTATAGTCAAAGCTGTAATATTTGCAAATCTTGGTATATTTATCTATGAATCATGACAAGAGGCTCTTTCTGAAGCTGTGAAAGGATTGGTTTTTGGTTTTTCTCTGGGGACAGAGAAAACTAAGATATGAAATGAATGGTTTAAGAAAAGACACAGGCAGGAGCCAGTGGGGATGTATTTAGTAAACAGAGGATTTCAGGTTGGAGAATTTTGATGCTCTGAGGTCAACAGCACTGATGGCCAGATTACTTTACATGTTGAAATTCTTATTAGGAACCACTAAGATATTAGGAAAATGAACACAAATTTTTATTTCTTAAGAAATATCTCATTCAACTGTAATACTCCCCCTATTGGTATGATCACCCTACCTGACAAGAAGCCGCATGACAGGAGAGATGATTTATTTTGCCTCGGGAACTGACAGGGAAGTAAAATGATGGGTGAGGTATGACAGAATTCATAGCTGTGGGCATTCAGGGTGAGCACTTCTGTCTTGGTAGAACAGGCTGTGGTGAGACAGGATGGTGAGACAGGAAGCAGGCACTGCTAGAAAACCTGTCTCACCTCCCAGTGTCTCATGGTCTCCAGCTATGCCAAAGGTCTTCAAGGGTTCATAAACTCACCAAACAGGACCAAAAAGTGTTCAAATACAAGATTATATGAGGAACATTTTACCCACACACACGTGAATAAATATATCATTACAACCTGGAGATTTTATTAATGTTGCCTGAACACATATGTTTTTAGGGCTGACCATTTGGTATTGAAAATTCATTTAGGGGGTTCACTTGCTATGAAGACCAATTCTCCCTCTCTCAACAGCTGTCCTGGCATTATTCATTGAAGGGTGGGGTCTCTCATGAGTTTTCCATCATTCATGCTGGCCTGTCAGCTGTTATTGTCAGCGTTCCTATCTTGTTTAAGTTGCCATATTGCTGAGGTATCACTTTGAAGGTTCCTGTCATATCTAGAAGGCATGATCTCACAGCAGCATTCTTCTGCATTGCCCTTTAGTTTTACTTCCTTATGCTGCTGTGTCATATTTTAGAACTTGTAATATGTAAATGCTAACCAATGCTCATTCCTACTGCAATCATGAACACTTTGCCTATTTAAGGAAATTTCTTCTTTACAAGATCCCACAAAGAGGTTTACTTCTTGGAGACAGAATATAGAAACACACAAGATATTCACAAAGAATGATGGATATATTTTGTATGTCTCCCTGTTATTCATAAGCCTTACTTCTGCAGGAATAGCATCCAGAAGAAACATTGGGGAAGAGATTATAATAGATTCATGCTCATTGTTTCAGAAGAGCTTGCTACTCTTCTTTTCTCACATTAGACTATGAATGTCTATAGTAAAAAGGACCACTGTTGATATCTATGTTTCTAGAATCTGGCACTTGTGGAAAGTACATATGGCACAAACACATATCTAGATCTTCTTCAAGAAAATGCTAGAGAGGTTCTCATAATCCTTATGCAACAACGTCCACATTCTGTCCAATAGTCTGCCAGCAGGCACTCAGTCTTAAGAGTGGTAAGCTTGGCAATAGACAGATTCTTCCACTCTACATGGGGAAAGTCTTGAGAGCAGCCTGTAAAAAGGGGATTTGATCCCCCGATTTTATCTCTTATGAGTGCCTGCTCTATCCGAGGTGGCAAGTGTTCCATACTGGAACTTATTGCTGTCATTAGTCTAAGCTATCCTCTTGTGGCTCCTGAATTTAGGTGTGCTTGTGTTCCTAATGTTCACTTTGAGGATTTGATGACCTCATTCAAGTCTAATTAGTGTACTGCTCTAGCATTGCTAGCATGTTGTTGATACATATAAAGCAGATTTTAATGTCCATTCTCACTCACTTGCTGTTGCATACATTGTATATTTTCCAGATGTCCACATAAGTGACATAGGTGGCTAGATTAGTCAGAAGTAAAAACGTGTTTATGAAGAGTAATTTATGTTAGGGAAAATAGTTTACAAAAAAAGGGAAGACAGTGGGATTAGCTCAGCTAAGGGAGTTAAAAAGAACACTTCGCTAAAATGTTTACTCACTCAGTGATTCAAATGAAAGTATAAGATGTCATTTTCAAGATTTTAAAGACAAGAATTGAGAAAAATACAAAGGAATCATTCAAATTCAATATGATACCGGTTATAAAATAATGATGACTAATGAAAGTGTGGCTAGATTTTAAATCCATTGATGTTTCTAGTTACAATTCCCTTCACAGTTGCAAAATAATACAGATATCCCTTCTCTTGATTTCTTTTGAATATACTCACTTTATTCAAACAGCCATTTCTTTTAATACCTTGCTAAAATTAAAGATAAACAGACATCACAGCAAGCAGGGGACAGTTGCTTCCACTGGGGAAGTCTTCTGTGAGGATGCTTTGGAAACTGTAGGCTCAACCCATCTGCATCCTGATGATCTTTAGCTGTGGTCCAGGAGGATGACACTGGTGGAGGTCCAGCAGGCCTTTGAGAGCATCGGCCAGCAGCAAGCACTGACAGGTGTGAGTTCAGCCACAGTAACAGAAGTTCAATGATCACTGAAGCCAGGGCCACAAAGTCCTCTTGTGCATGGATATCAGTGCAGACTCCTGAGATGCTGTGTCTGTCTCAGGAGCATGGCCATCTGGTTATAGGAGCCACTCCCGGAGTTTCAATTTTTTGAATCATCTCATTGTGTGGTAGCTTTGCACTATCAGGGCTCACATCTTACAGCTGGTTCACAAATGTATCAGTGCCACCTTAGGGTTATTTATTTAGCATATCAAAGTCTTTCTTGGGCTTGTCTCCAATCTGAACTGCCTTGCGGAAGACTCTTTTCTTAGAGGCATTTCATTATTCCAAGTCACTGAAAATGGTATTCAAGATGCAGAAAATCATTTCCCTTGTGTTATTAATAATGAGTCATCAAAAATGGACAAATTTGGGAGTGGGTTTGTTGTCAGTATATGGAGAAGTGATGAAGGGAAATGGTAGATATAATAAAATATTGTATATGTGAATAAAATTTTTAAATTCCTTAAATGCAAAAAATGCATTCCATTTTACTTACACAGTACACTTTCCCTGTTTGACATTTTTAAAAAGGATATAGTTTCATTAATGCCCGGAGGAGAACAGTGAGCATTACAATAAACTACATGCCCCAATATGAAGGATTAGTGCTATCAGAAACCACAAACTTAGCAAGTGCTCTTTACAGGTTATGTCGGTGACATTATCAATTAGAAATAATACATATTGCTACCCATCCTATTTCTTTCCCATATATTTCTCTTCCTTGCCTTCAAATATATGTTGATATTTAGGGAACAACTTTACAGTCAGGCCATCCTATTGCCTCCCTCTTTGTCTACTAAGGATTAAACATAAGTTATGAGGTTTAGCCTATAGGTGACTTACACAGCAGTTCAAGGGAAAAATAACTTTTAATAAAGTTTTGATCCTGTACTTGTTTTCCCAAGGCACAATATAGCTGTTATTTATAGTTTCACTGAAAAAGCTAGGGGTGAATTTTCAGCATTTCGTGTAACTAGCTTTCTGCTTGGGAAGCCAACATTATATTCTGAAACCAGCTAAGAATTTGTCTCTGACAGCAATATTTTTAAAGGAGAGGAAAATCTTTTTGAGAAATCCATAATTAAGCAATAACAAAGCTGGTATGAAGCCAATTGCAGTTTTGTAAAATAAACAGTTTTTTACTACACTAGAAAGGGAGTTTATCCTTCATAGTTGAGCAAAATCCAAGCAGAGTCAGGTTAAAAGTCTTCAATGAGGCTCTTCACTAATAAATATGTAAATATTCTTCTAAGACTAGACAAGGAAATCCTTGTGTGGCAGTTCAGGATACACATAAATATGTGCCACCATTTGTTTTTCTTGTTTTTGTTTTTGTTTTTTTTTTTTGAAACACAATTAATTCTTGTGAATGTCTTGAAAACATTAACCATTTTCTGTGTGGACTTCATTCTCTAATTAGTTCAAGACTTCTATCATTGTAATGGCTATCTGGAATTATCTTCAGATTAGTAATATTCTTCCATTCAAAGTTTTTTGATTTGCCCATAGGAGATATTATTCACTCTTGTTCAACATAGGTTCCCACTTGTACCTCCTGAGATTCACTATCTTTGCCTCAAAATTGCAATGGCTTTTCCCTTTATCTGATCATAGAGACCATTTTCCCTAGGTGTTTTGCACACTTCTTCCATAGGCAAATGCCTTCTGGGGCTGAGGATGAACTAAATATTTTTTTAAATTTATTTTTATTTAAATTAGAAACAAGTCTGCTTCACATGAACTAAATCATTTTTAAATGTCAAGTTTAATTTTCTTTGCAAGTTTCACTCATATATACAATTTATCTTAGATAATCCCTTTTGGAGTATCTATTTACACTATTTTACTTCAATTTTGTAGAGAAATTCCATATAAATGCAACAGCCTTTTGTGAGTAACCATGCACTATATCTCATAATATATTGTCTTTTATTACCCACCATGATTAGTAGAGACATTATTTTGAGCTATGCCCCTGGATCCATATAACAATTTCATTTTTTTCTGGTAGGGAATGTACAACACACTCATTCTTACCAATGAATTTTAGTCATAACTGTCTTGACATTTCCATGATGTGTCCATCATAGTTCAGGACCTATCTTGGTCTTTATTGCTTGATAGTAGATATTCTCTGTGATGTCCATGTATCATGACATCTACCCTAGATCACAATTTGGAATCGAGAATTATAAACACTTAGTAGAAAAAATTTCTGTTGTTCACAAACATGTGTATTGGTTATACCCTAGGATTATCTTTAAACTTCTGCTATGCTTGATTATGAATACACTGTTTTGTGCGTCAGCTGAGTCTCCTTAAATGAATCTATCATGAAATCATTCTTCCTCAAAGCAAACTGGCAGTCTGGCGTTGCAGTGTTTTTAAGTTTATCCAAAAGGAAGTTATGCCAAATACAGTGGTACAATAATTTTCACACAAATCTTTGATAATTTACCATTTCTTCTCTTTCAGATGAGATCACTGTTATTGTAAAAAAAATTTCATAGGCTTTTCTTACAGTTTTGTTTACATGTCTTTCTGAATGAATTATATTCTTTTCTAATTTCTAACAAGAATTCTGCAGACTTCCAAAGACCATTAGATATTGCTGTTTATACAATAATTTTGATATAAAACAACTTGGAATTTTAAGTAATAATTTCTCTAAATAGAACTTTGATAGCATATAATAGTTTATCTTATTAAATGTATAATTTATAATTTTTTGAGCTTCTGTATGAGAAAAATGCAATGTAAGCTATTGAAAGTTCTGGTGAAAAAAATTTCACTAAAAGACGAAAAATAACTATAAGAAAAATAACTAACTGATGCTGGGGATTCAATTAAAGAGTCTATACATTCCACTTTAAAGAAACAAATTCCAAAGTATCATGAAGTTTGGAACTACGGGAAAGAACTTAGGTAGGTATCTTGGTCTGAGTTCTTAATACTCTGAAGAGAGACCATGACCATGGCAACTCTTGAGAAGAAAACATTTAATTGGGGTGACTTACAGTTTCAGAGGTTCAGTCCATTATGATCATGATGGGGAGCATGGCGGTGTGCAGGTAAATATGGTGCTGGCTACAACTTGAGCAGAAGGCTGCAGGAAGTAGACTGTCACACTGAAACAAGCTTGAACATAAAGACATCAAATTCCACCCCCAACGTGATACACTTCCTCCAGCAAGGCCACACCTCTTAATAGTGCCACAACCTTTGAGCACCATTGTCTTTCAAACCACCACGTGGCTATAGGGTATATATTTATATTTCTGAAGGATTTCATTCCATTTGAAGGTGCTCATTTGAAACTTCAATTATATTCACTACAAACTTTAAGACATCTTTCATCAGAAAATTGATGTGACTAGGATTTTTTTCAGGCATTTTTCTTTAGTAACAATGACTAGGAAACTGAAAGGAGTTTGAGTTTATAGGCAAATGCTAGGTCCTCTTGATGTGAAATTATTGTCTTTTGTACTCTACTCTAAATTTTGCCTAACTTTGCTGATCAGTCATTGAGTTCTTAAATTTCTGGTAAGCCAATATTTTATAAACTACTGGGATGTCCCACAATGATTATCAATGTCATATTACAGCTTGACATGAAAAAAGGTACCCAAATATTTGATCTATCATAATTTTGATTGTGTATCTGAAATGATTTGAGAAAATTTACATGTGAAATGATAGAATAAAATAAACCCCACCCCCTAGTGTGTCAGTTAAAACTCCAGACTCAAAGGAATTCAAGTTAGGTAACCAGTCTTGTCTGATTATGTAAACAAAGACATCTGCCTGGATTTTCCTGTCTTCTAATGAACTAAATTATTGTTTTTGAGCAGCAAGCTGAATATTTAGTTTTCTGAAATGAAGCTACACTACTGTCTTTTTCAAGGGCTACAGCTTGGTTTCCAGCAATTTTACCCATGGAGCCATCCCACTAGACACAATTTTCATCTCAAATTTGTAATATTCCATGGAGTTTGCATAAATTAGAATACACAGAATGCTAGATGCTTAGACTGTATAATACTACTGGCTCTTGTCTAATATCATATTCTTAGAAATGATGCAAAAGGAATTATACGGAAGAAATACAAGTCATAAATGAGTCTTCATATCCTTTCTGTATCCTCCATAGTTGTATGACCCAAAATCTGGTTATTGTGTATAAACTATCTTTTTATGTTATACATGTGACCCACAGGTTGCCAAATTATCAAGTTGTAAATGGTTAGGAACTTTGTATTTTATATGGCATAGCTTGAACAAAATGCTATCAATTGAAGCTGTGCACTCACATTCTTCAACTGAACATTTTTGTGCTATGGTGCTAAAGTATTAATAAAACAATACTCCTCTCAACGTCACTGAAGAGAAGGGCATGCCAATCCACAGGTGGACACAGCAAGTTACACAGTATGTTGGCTTCTTTGGTGTTTCTTTTCCTTCTGTGAGCTAACAGTAAGCTATGAATTGGCATCCATTAGTGAGTGACTTCATAATAAACAGATGTAAGACAAAAGCTCTCATTCTTTCAAGAACCACTCCTGATGAAACACTGGTATACTGCTTCACACTTAAGCACATCAGTGCCTCACACTGTTGTTAGTGATCCTTCTCACACTGTCATAAATGGCAGCAGTGTTCTCACAGAGCACGTTACTTCAAATACATTTTTACTACTATCTCCTTTGGTTTCTGTCCTGTGACAGAGCAGATCATCATGGCCATTTTCATGCAGCCATTCACTTCTTTAACTGTTCTGTGTTGCCATGGTATATAAAAAATTATGTAAAGTGCAATTATCTTCAATAAACATTTGTTCTTTTTTTCTCCTTTAAAAAAATTGTTTTCAGAGAGAAAAAAAAAAGACAGTTTAAGAAAAATGGCTTTCATTTTAGTGATGGTTCCAACCTGTGTTTAAGCTTTTCTTTTCACAGGGTTCATATTTTAATTCATATTAAATGTAGTTCAATTAGAGAATTTATTGTTGTTCCTGGAGAAAAAAAATAAACCTAAAATGACATAGCCATAATCATGCCAAAGTATCTTAATGGGAAGACATGTGTATTGAATTCATTATTTTTAAATATTCACAAACAATTTACAGTCTTTGAGAGTGGGTTCTTTGCTGTTTTTAATTACCTTTTTGTTTGGAATTTGTTTGCTGTGTGAAACCAGCAGTACAGCATTCGTAGATATCTGTGCACTGACTGTACATGCCAGTATCATTAGATTGGCATGTAAAGACGGGGGAGGGTTGACACAGGCCAGCTAGGCAAGAATTGACTTGCACACATAATAGCTATTACAAATTTATGAAGGTTAGATTTTTTTCAGACATTGACTTATGTGAGTGGTAAAGCCAAAATATAGAGATTGACTCACTCTATATGACCAGAGATTTGTATGTGAGTCTCATGTTGATTACATGACTAGAATAAACAAATGGCTAGTCCTCTCTAAGAAACTGAAATACAGTTTTGAGACATACAGAAACAGATCTTGCCAAACAATGATAATATGTATATGATCGATTGGAGCCTATATAAATTGCTAATAAGGATGCAAAACACTACTACAACTTTGGAAAACAGCATTTCATGTTTTATTAAGTTAAAAGAAACATAACATACTATCCTTCCTATGCTGTTTACCCAGGAGAAAACAAAAAGTTATCTACCAAAAGACAAATATTGGTTGCAATAAGGCTATTTACGTGCAAAAATTGAAACAAGGCAAATAAATGTTCCTTAACCAATGACTGAAACACTGTTGACATTGTGGTGATTTGAATGAGAATGACTCCCACAGGCTCCTTTATTTGAACATATGTTACTGGGTTGGTAGATTGTTTGGGATTGGTTAAGAGGTCTGACTCGGGTGGAGAGGACATGGCACTGTTTCAAAACTCCATGGCCTTCCTGGTGTCTCTCTCCCTCTTTCCCTAGGGGTTCTGTCTCAGAAAGTGAGCTCTCCATACAGGTCCAATGCCACCCCAGCTTATCTGTTGCCATGCTTCCCATTCTGAGTCAAGGACTCTAACCTCTGAAACCACAGGCCCTGACTATGAGTTGTTTTGGTTATGATACTTTGTCACAGAAATAGAAAAATAATTAATACAAAAAATGTAGGAGGAAGTAAGCTATTGTTGTGATAGGCCTGATCATACTGTGGTTTTGTGTTTGTTTATTTTGTTTTATTTATTTTTGTTTTTGTGGGGAGGGGAACCAAGTAAATGGTTGAATGGTATAAATGGTGATCATAGGGCCATCCTAGTAAAAGTTGGGAGGACAGTCCTGCTGAGAGAATTGTGAACTATGAGGGCCCAACTCAACAAGATTAAGGAGACAAGAATGTTAGCAACTCGGCTAGAGATCATTCTTAATGTATTTTGGTAGACAAGACAGTATGTCTGCTTTCTACCCTTGGACTAAAAATCTGCCTAAGGATAAACAGAAAAATATTGTATTGATTGCTGTTGTAGGGGAGATTTCAAGATACCCTAATAATGATTGTGCCACCTGGTTTTCACAATTCCTCCAATGCAGATCTACAATGAAAAAGAGCAAGCAGGGCAAATTTAATTAAAATGTATAGTATAACATAAAAAGAGTAACAGAAAATTTAATGTTAGAGGCAAGGCTTTTGCTTCAAGAGATGGAAAGATTAACATAAAACCTGCTCTGAAACTAAACAAAGGGAGGGGGCCCTTTGGGTAAGACTTCACCCAGCTAATCTTTCTACCTGTAAAAAGAAAAGTCTTGAGGAATATTTGCCCCCCATAAAGCAACAAGTAAAAAGAGGTTCTGTGAATGTGATTCCATGGTGCCAGCCTACACCCCAAGTACACAGCTGAACTTCCTAGTGTTATACACTTCATTCTGGCATTAGAGTCATGATGGTACAAGAAGTAAATGTTTTGTGGAATCTTTCTCTGCAATCAAGCTGTGCCACTCAGGCCAGGTATAGGGAAAGGGAATTCCTTCCTGGAGGAAATGCCATTTGAAAAGGTAATCCTGAATTGTAGTGGAGACCCCAAGTTAAGTTCTATAGTCAGAGCCTGGGATAAGTCTGAGATGGAGCTGGCCCATATTCCAGGCTAAGAACACTCCAGCATTTGCAGGAAAGCTTGGCTAGAGCATGTAGGATGATGGGTACCTCATGTAGCCTTCAGGCAGCACCATCTCCCCTTCTGATTGGCTTTCGTAATCACTAGGCTTCTACAGCAGCAGGAACTTTTTTTCATAGTTGTGTGATGTACTGCATTAGGGAAGAATTTGTGGTTGTTGTTTATTTGTTTAAGATTTTCATGTTTGAGTAACAATTTGAAACAATCTTTACTTGATACAGAAATAAATGATAAACAAGAAATGAATTCTACATAAGGTACAAGATAAAGTCTGTGGCCAGTTGATAATACTGGAAGGCCTTCAATCATATTACTAATTTGATTCTCCCTGGAAATTACAAAGAATCAGAGAGAAAAATTTTACTTTTTGAATTTTGCAACAAATTTTATATGCATTATTTCATCTATTGTTTTCAAATGGTAATTGTTGCATAAAAATCTCCAAAAGTATATGATATTACATGTATTGTGTTTGTGTGAGTGTGTGTGTGTCTGTGTGTGTGTGTGTACATGGTTTTCTGTCTTTTTCTAGCAATGGACCTCTGAGCCACACTGAAGTTCTACTTAAACTTTCAATATTAAGAAAATATTAGTCTTATATATAATGGCTATATAATAATCCATTTATCCCAAATAATCTTTATTTGATAATTTTGAAATATGCTTTGGATTTTAGCATTACTGCTCATTGTATTTAAAGTGTCACTTTTATTAAAATTGAACTCAAAATCAAAACTGTATTTTTTGTAATTTTATTGCCAAAGTTTACTGACAAACATGTTAAAATGGTGTTTCTAGGTGAAAAAAGTAATTCATGTTTAAGAAACAAAATATCTTCAGATATATGTTTACATTATATAATCTGTTTAAAGTTTTATCACACACCTTTGAAAGGCCATCTCCTGTCAATTTTTTATTCTTTTTTTAAAGATGTATTTATTTATTTATTTACTTATTTATTTATTATGAATAGAGTTTTCTGTCTGCATGTATACCTGTAAGCCAGAAGAGGGCACCATATCTTATTACAGATGGCTCTGCACCATCATGTGGTTGCTGGGAATTGAACTCAGGACCTCTGGAAGAGCAGCTAGTGTTAACCATGAGCCATCTCTCCATGCCCCAGAAGTCATTTGGTACTGGATTTTATTTGTTCTGACCATCTGATCATCATGGTAGAAATGACAGTACCCAGGAGGGAGGCTCTGAGGAAGACTAGAGACACCAAAATAAACACTGCAGACAGGCCGCTAGAACAGCGCAGGAAGACAGGTTCTGTGGCAGCTGGGCAGCTGCCCAATCAGATATTCTCTCTTCTCAAGTCAAAGTCTTAATCACAATAGTAATTTTTTTAAAAGTTTCCCAGCCAGTTACTGTGAGAATTCCAGTCGCCCATGAACCAAAACATAGGACAAGAGGAAGGGAATTCAGAGTTAACTTGAAATTTCCAGTAAACACCAAGTAAGGGCTTAAAAACTCACACCAGCAGAGAAACCCACAGCACACAACAGGAGTCCCAGAAATATCTTCCAGGAAGATTACTGCTATAGAGCCAGCAGACGCAGCAGAAGTAGGAGCTTACCCCCCAGAGACCACTTAGGCCTCCTGATGCAAATCCCTGTTGTTCGGATCTTGTCTTCCTGTCCATTTTAAGGAATGTATTTTATTACCACTACATATACTCACTACCATAGACCTCAAAACTTATTCTTTCATTTTATTTATTTCTTGTGAATGTTCTAGTTTGAATACAAATGTCCTCTAAATGTCAGGGTGCTGAATAATTTGGCCCAGAGTGGTGCTGTTGAGAGTATATACAATATTTTAGAGAAAAAAGTTGAAGAGAAGAGAGCTTACTGTTTGTGACTCTTTAAAGGAGGTGGTAAGACTTTGGATATACTGCCTCTTATCTGACTCACAGATCCCAGCACTAAGGATTATCTTGCTATGTGTTCCAAAGCAATGGAACCTATCAATTACAGACAGAAATTCCCAAAGTGAAATCTAAAAATGATATGACAGATTTTCAAGATCCCTCATGGAAGGCCTCACCCTCCCTGGGGAGCAGAAAGTAGATAGGATAGGGGGTTAGTAGGGTGCAGGGAAGGAGGGGATGGGGGAAACTAGGATTGGCATATATAACAAGCTTGTTTCTAATTTAAATTTTAAAAATCTGAAAAGAAAAAACTTAATAAGTAAAAGTTTATTTAAATTTACACTAAGAAGAACAAAATAACCCTTAGCACCCCCTCATATAAGTTATCTCAAGTATTTCTTATTATTATAGAAAGCTTACTAGTATATGCTTGTGCAGTCGAATGTACAGAAAGTTATAAGCAACTCAGAAGCTAGAAACTATAAGAGAAAATAGGAATATTTCAATAAAAACACGAAGTGTAATGAGATGAGTATCTACTCAAAGTGCAGACCCATTCCTCAGAGTGGAACCTCATCTGAAACCCTGTCTTTGCAGAGGTTGTTCCCTGAGTCATAGTGCATGGGAATGATCTCTGAATGTACTAGCTGGTGTGAAAAAATGAGCATGACATTACCTCAGAGTAAAGGGTTGGGATAAGATATTCCAATAAAATGGTCCAATAAAATAGCTGAAGTAGCTATCCTAATATCTACCAAATTAGACTTCAAACTAAAATCAATCAAAAGAGATGAAGAAGGTCATTTCATACTTATCACAGGAAAAATCCATCAGGAAGAAGTCTCAATTCTAAAAATCTATGCCCCAAATACAAAGGCACCAACATTCGTAAAAGAAACATTATTAAAACTCAAATCACAAATAAGACCTCACACAGTTCAGTGGGAGACCTTAACATCCCACTCTTACCACAGGACAGGACCACCAGACAGAAATGTAACAAAGAGACAAAGGAACTAACAGAAGTTATGACCCAACTGGGTTTAACAGACATCTATAGAACTTTCTATCCAAACACAAAAGAATATACCTTCTTTTCAGCATCACATGGAACCTTCTCTAAAATCAACCACATACTAGGCAACATAGCAAACCTCAACAGGTACAAAAAAATTAGAATAAGACTATAGTGGGAAATTACCAAGTGTATTAAATGGGGAAAAGCCTTCCTTACAGACCACCCTAGCCAGCCGGCGTGGCAGCAGTCTGTACTGCAAGTACAAAAGTGAAACTGAAAGAGAAAGTCCCCTGAAAGTCCCACACTATGTCACCCTGACAACGCCCTCACAAGCATGGTCAGGCACACCTGTAGCCAGCCCCTAAGTAGGCGTGGTTACAGCTTCCCCTACAATTTCTCTTTTAGTCTAAAAGAGGATTAAAACTTAACAGTGTAAAGTATCCAAAATTAACAATCATAAAGGTAAAATATAAGAAGATACAACAATCTGCTTATGTCACATCCTAACTATCTCTTTTAACTAAACCCTAAAGTCATCTGAAAGAGGTGTCCAAGCCTGAACACCTCCTTCCAATCCAACCATAAACAATAAGAAGATATCCCTAACTAGTTATATACATTATCCTAAATGACAACAATGGGGAAAGGGGGCGTAGCATCCTCCAAGTTACTTCCTGCTGAAATGGGATGATGATAGTCATGTGTGGTCCTGTAGAAAGAAAATATTAGTGTAGTAAAAGTCTTGAATGGATTGTATCCAGTCCATGTTAGATGGGATTCTCTTGATAGAAGATCTCACTTGAAATCTTCAACTTGATTGAAGTCAGTACCCAAACCTCTGGCT